TGCAACTAAACCTCTGATTTTAACGCATACTGTTGACAGGGCTACTTGTTTGGTTGCAGGCTGGCTGGCAGGTTGAGGCTGGGGAATTTTTGTGTTTTGCGCTGTGTAATCTGACACAGCGCGGCTCCCATGCCGGTCAGCATTCTATCGCCATGGCAACCCTCCGCCAATCACAGCGCGCTACTGCCCGGTCCCCGCCCACTCCGCTGTGCTCGTCGGCTGTGAGCGGGAGGTAATGTATAAAGAGAGGGCACCTCTCTATATACATTTCCCCCCCTCTCTCTCTCTATATACATTGCCCCCCTCCCCCTCTCTATATACATTGCCCCCCTCTCTCTATACATTGCCCCCTCTCTCTATACATTAGCCCCCCTCTCAGATGCAATGTATATAGAGAGGGGGGCAATGTATATAGAGAGGGGGGCAATACGGATACTGATCTTAACATCTGACAATCCAAAATGGGGGGGCCGCGACGCACTGAAATGGGGAGGCCTGTCCGCTGGCTGAGATAGTATGGGGCCCGCCGGCCGCTGTGAGGAGGGAGCCGCAGATCAAGGCGGCACTGAAGACTGCCCTGCAGACACATCATGGGGCCTTGGACGGCAGTGAGGACCCAGCGAACAGAAAACACATAGGAAACAGATGAAGACAGAAGACCGGCCAGAAGAGGTGAGGGGGGGTAAATAATTAATTAAAATAATAATTATTTGTAGCCTAATGTTGTATTAAGTACTGTTGCAGCAATGCACGATGGGACCCTTTATAGAGGACTACAAATCTCAGCAGTACTTTATACAGAAATGCTATTGTTATATAAAGTATTGCTGGGATGTGTAGTCCTCTATAGCCTGTGCCATTCTGCATTGCTGTAAATATTAGGGTTGCACCGATATATCAGCCGCCCAAAGATATCGGCCGGAAATTGCACTTTTGGCTAAATGCCAAAAGTGCAATTTTTCTGCTGATACAGCAGCGCATCCCTGCTTTCTTTCCTCCCCGCTGGGCGCTGCTCTGTGTCCCAGGGGGAGGAGAGAAAGTGACAGCCGGCCGAGCGCTGCGGGAGGAGAGCGCTGTGTTTGTGGGGTTTTTTTTTTGGGGGGGGGGGACCCAAAAAAAAATCTTGCACCAGGGCCCTTTGTTCCTTAGGTCCGCCACTGACTCCAAAGACATGCTGGAAATGTAATTGGCTCCTTTGTAAATTGTCCCTAGTGTGTATGCATGTGAGATTGTAAGCTCCTTGAGGGCAGGGGCTGATGTAATTGTGCACTGTGTAAATTGTTGGTGCTATATAAATACCTATAATAATATTATAAATAACTATACTGAAACTGTATTGTAATTACCTTACTGTGCCCGTTCATTTTTTTTTTAACCAAAACCGAACTGATTGCCAATAAAATATTAAATATGAAAAAAGGTTTCTCGGCGGGTTTTCGAACATGTTCGTAAGATAAAAGTTGTGCGACCTTACAGTAGTAGAGGTCGCACGGCTTCCACACACCTTACGATAATCGTACGATCGCGGTATTTCCCGCGATTATCGTACGATTATAGCAAGGTATGTGGGCACCTTTAGACTTGAGTACATTCCGCCAGCTGGAGTGAAGGGTGCGAAGCAGAGGGCGCTGACTGGCAGGGAAGCGGGTATCAGGTAGGTAAATCTGCTATACTCCAGTCCCCTAGACAAAAAATAGCACTTAAAGTGACATTAAACCCTCAGATTTTTTAACATAAAACAATAGTGTAATGTGCGCCTTCCTGTAATCCATGGTTGTTTCCCTTCTCTTTGCTGCTCTTCCTTTTAAATCTGTATCTGTTCTCATGCTGGGCAGAACTTTTTGCAGCAGACTGCCTTGTCTCTGGAATGGCTACATGGTGTCTGTGTGTACATTTGCAACCTGAGCCAGCACTACAGGAAGAGGCACTCAGCTGCAAAGGGAAGTTCTCCCCAAGCATAAGAACACGTGAGGTTTTGCAGCGATTCTAGGTTGCTCAATGCAAGCATTTGCGCGATTTGCATTTTGCGCGATTGTACCTGCCCTCTGCTGATGGACCTGATGGGGAACTGCAGCAGAGGGCGGGTACAATGCTAGTTTACTATTGGCTATTGCAAATTGAAATAGCCAATAGTAATGTCCCAATGCTTTTCAATGGGAATTTTTTTTTTCTCTATTCTGACATTGCTCGTGTCAGAATAAAGAAAAAAAGACACAGCTGTGTTTCTCTCCTTGGCGGCCGGGAGCAGGAGACTCCCGGGCCGCCAGGGAGAGTTAGCTGTTTGGAGATCAGTGTCCCTGGTTAGCAGGTAACCAGGGATGCTGATCTCTCTGAAAGTGGCCGGAGCCAGCCGTAAGATCACGGTTGGCTCCGCCCAGCTACCAGAAGCAGGCTGTCGACCGGCCAATGGCCGGCCGCTCGGCCTGCTTCAGCTTTCAGCACGGCTCAGCCGAGCCGATGCATATGCGTTTGGCTCGGCTGAGCCGCTCGGCCATGATCGGGAGCTGTACGGGCTATTGTGAATAGCCCGTACAGCACCCCTTTGGTTCTACTGAACCGAAGGGGTCCTGGGGCCGAAGCTAGCCGAAGGATCGGCCGAAGCTACAGCCAGATCCTTCAGCGGCTTCGTGAATAGACCCCTAAATGTGAGATTGTAGTCCATCTTGGGAGTAAGCTCGTAGTGGTGGCTACTTTACAACACACACACAGGGACCATGGGGAACAAACGTAGCCACCCTCCAGAAGGAAGGACAGTGTCAGAACGAATTTGGAGAGGATTTGAGGATCTACAGCCGAGCGATACATTTAAGATAAGATACATTGAAGGGAATTCATCAAGAGTGGAGCAGAAACAATTTGGAGCAGCTGTGCATGGCAGTCAATCAGTCTTTCATTTTCAAATCTTAACTGGACAAGCTGAAGAGAGAAGCTGATGGGTTGCCATGCACAGCTTCTCCAGATTTTGTCTGCTCCAGTTTTGATAAATTCCCCCCTTTGCTGTTAATAGTTAAGGTTCTTGAATGCATTTTTAAGATGTAACTCCTGAGTTTAGTGTCACTTTAATCATTGCAGTGTGTGGGTAGTCCCATTGCAAAGGTATATATTTTGTTTTCCCGGAGATGGCCCCCCTCACTTTCTGTTTCGTTTCTGGGACAGAAAGTGAAGCAGAATCTTCCCAGCAGGAAACAGACAGCACCGAGAATGCTTATCTCTATGGAGCCAGCAGGGAACATTGTCCGAAGTTTCCCTACTTGTACTCTGCAATGCAGTGCAAGCTCTTCCACTGCATTTCACAAGCTGGCCAGCAATGTAATGATGAGGCCATGTAAAAATTTGATTTATCCAAAAGTCATTTCTCTTTTAAAGAGGCTTACTTGCAATTAAAAGACCCCTTTATATTTGTGTATATACAGTATGCACTATTGTAGCTTACCTTGAAAAGATTTTGAATTGCAGTGAAATCCTTTATACTAAGCCGGTTCTCAATCGATTCCCCTAGATGTCGGCCTCCTTCAGATCCCTCCCCGCTTGGCAGGACGGCAGCAGGCCCACTGGGCTCTCTTTCATGGAGGTGAAGGATCTGGCTGTCCATCTCTGTTTTCTAATCAACACCTTTGTGCCTTGCATTGAAAACATGTCAGAGGTGCATTACAATTCGGGAATTGCATTGGAACTCACTGAACAGAAATAAACAGAGTGAATTATTTAAAAAAAAAGGTCAGTTTGTTAAAAAGAGGTGCAGTGCTGTGGGAGCCATACAAGTTTTGTTACATACCTCAATAAAAAGATAAACTTTGGAAATTACATTTGCAGAGATGTCCGTTCTAAGATTTGCTGGATGTGAGAAGTCGCTCTGGAGGAGGAATGTTTTTGTCTTTACTTGGAGGCTTCTCAGTGACTTGTTACTTGGCAACTCTATACAAAGCTGATCAACACACCCTGAAGTACTTTTCATATGACCTCGTGCTAAGAAGAACTAGTGCAATGCAAAGTTTATTAGTCAGACATCAGACTGACAACTCTATAGATTTTATATCACAAAAGCTGTGTAGTGCATGTCAAACTCACCGTCCTGAAGAGCCAGAAAGGTCATACATGCAGTGTGCATTCAATAATCGGATGAATACGCATATCCTCATATCTGCTAAAAGAGAGGCTGGTGTTCTTTATAGTAGAAATGAGTGATTGAGCGCTAACAGTTTTGTCTGAAGTCATGGCTTCTTTTTCAGTAGAACTTTTTCTTTTTTTCCAGATCGCAAACTATTACATGTGCAAAAGGTAAACTTTGCTTTTCTTACAGACCCGTTCCTTAGAATTTTTTCATCATCATCATCGATTTCACCGCATCAACGATTAGAAAGTCGAACGAACGTTCCAAAATCGATTTTGTTCATTTGAAATTCTAACCGTCTATACCCTACTTAAAATAGCAAAAAGCTTCCAGGCACACTCACCAGCCAGCATGCAAAAAACTTTCTAAAACGTGCGTTTGCCATTTGTTTTGCTATACCCTACTTAAAGCCCAAGTTACACAGGGCTTTCTGGGATTCGTGCTGCAGGAATCCCAGAGGCCTGCTCAGATTTAGCCGCAGTACCCATTGTAGTAAAAGACAGGGTGACAGCGGACGCATCTGTCAGTGGCAACCTGCATGTAATTGTTCATGGTATGGGGAAGATGATTGTCCCTGGACGCATCTATCCTGCATCCAGTGACAATCATCTTTCCCAAACTGCATGTACCATATACGATTACATGCGGCTGCGGCTTAAAAATGCGGCCGCTGTACCCACTGAAGAAAGCCCCGTTCACTTCTTCACGTTCCGTGAACACGCATTTGTGCACATTTGCATGCGTTTATTACATTAATTTCAATGGGTGCCCCACATCGACCAACGCAGAAAAGTAGCTCATGTGGCAGAATCTGCTACAGGCGTACTTTTTTTCACCATGCATTTGTGCAAGTTTATGGTGCTAAAACACACGTGAAAAGTGTGCATTTTCCCGGCCGCGTTTGGGGTGGCATTAACAAGTGATGGCACTGCAAGCACGTTGCGTGCTTTTGACGTGGTCCATGCACACACACCAAGGCACACATTGGGCAGGCGTTGACAAAAGGCGAAGGTGTGAACTGGGACTAAATGGCCAGATGACAGCGGCCACATATGTAAGCAGCAGTTGGCATGGAATTGTATATGACACATACAATTTGGAATAGATGATTGCTGCATCTGATCGGGACACCTGACATTAATGTCGCAGGAATCCATAGGATCTTACCGGCAAGAATTCCAGATTTCCCTGTGTAAACAAAGCCTTGATCTGATCTATGGGATAAGCAAATATTGTCTAAGTACAAGGGTCATGTGTAATCTACATTGAATCTTGGTGTGTTTTGTGTATTTCTTCCAGATCTGTGCAGTAATCCATGTGAAACCTTGTCTCTGTGCAGGAGCTTCCTGTAATAAAGACCAGTCAGTGCTGCTTTCTCTACTTGTGACTGGTCCTGTCTCCGCCTCCTTGCGTAGTTTTCTGCAGTCAGCCTGTAGTGGGTGGTTAGGCACCAAGAGCACGTGCCCCAGGTCTTCTACTGAGTGTCCCAAGTCTCCTTTGAAATGGATTGTTTAGGTTTGTCCTCATATTAGTGTTGGCAACTCTAAATGAAATTGTACAGAGGCGTCACAATTTGATTGCATTGCATATGGCCACGTTTAGATTTGCTCCAAACTATTCATCATGATATTCTACCAGCTCCTCAACATATTAATCTGTGTACCCAGAGGTGTTCCTGGTCTTTTAGGACACTACAAATGCCCCTGTTGGGTGGGTCTGCCGGGTCCATTCCAGCTCTACTCTCTGTCTAAAGCCAAAGCTTTTCCTTTTTGGATAGAGTAGGGAATAACTAAAGTGATATTAAAGGCAAAATGTTATTAAACTATTTCAAATGCTGATGAAATCACTTACAATGGATGTGGCTCCTTGATGTTTAAAAGTTTTAGTTTCCTGCAGAATCAGCTGGTCCCCTGAGCACTGGCCCTGATATCCTGTTAGGGTGGCTCCTTTCCCTTGCAGGGTCCTATGGAGTCATCCTTGTGTGCTAGTAAGCTGTGTCTCCCAACCACACAGGAACAGCAAATGCAGTCGCCTCTTCTTCCTCCTCCAAGCTAGTGGACAGCTGCTGTATTGTACTGGAAAGGAAGTTCAGGGAAGGATAGCTGAGAGAGTTGAGTCAGCTGTTTGGAATCATGATGACTAAGTGCTTGGGCAGAAATATAAATAAATACTTTGCTGGACAATGTATTCATTTGATTTGTGTTTGATCTGGATTCAAATCAAAAAAGTTTGAGGGTTTAATACTACTTTACAACTCTGTAAGTCTTTTCTTTGCCCTCTGTGTCCCATTCAAGAGATTTGCCTTAAAGGAGAACTATGAGGCGAGTGCTTTTCACTCACCTCATAGTTCTAGCCGACCTGTGACAATGAGACTGTCCCAGGTCAGCTCAGTAGATCGGGAGGTGAGGGAACACATACCAGCATTCGCTTACCTCTCAATCCTGTCACGGCTCTCTGCCGTGACAGGGGAGGGGCTGGATTCCCCCCTCCCCGCCAGCGCTGACTGGCGGAACGGACGGGGGAGGGGGCGGGTACAGCTGGCTCCGCCTCTAGATCGGCCGAGCCAGCTGTCAGTCACGCAACTGGGCGGATCCCAGCACAATTGTCGGGATCCGCTTCGTCTCAGTATACCGGGAGCTACAGCTCGCGGTATACTGAGCCTAGGGTGACGGGAGGACGCTAGTTTGTGTCCTCCCGTTACCCTAAGGAGAACTATGGGGAACAGCCTTAACCCCATAGTTCTCCTTTAATTTCCTATTCTGTAGACACATCAGTAAGTAAGAGCATGTCCCTCCCAAGTGACAATCTTAGGCCGTTGTCACCAAAATAGATGTCCACACTATTGCCGTTTCAGAATTTGACATTTTCCCACTTTCAGTCCAGTGACATTGGTCACCAGGACACACTGGTGATATTCTGTAGTGCTGTTTTTTATTATAATGTAGTGCTGGGATTTGTAGTCCTGCATAGCTGGTGGTATTCTGCATTGCTGTATGATGATTATACAGCAATGCAGAATAGCACCAGCTATGCAGGACTTCAAGTCCCAGCAATACATTATACTTTTAAGTAGGGATGCACCAGTCAGTGCCAATACGTGGCATTTTCACAAGTACTCATACTCATGAAAATGCCCTGATACTAAGCGCAGATACTGGTGTTCTGTTGAGAATGCTAACGTAGTGGAATTTGCCGACCTTAGCATCTTGCGCACAGATGTTATCAAGGAAACCACGATTTGTCCCTTGCTGTGATTGGGGGACAGGATCTCCCCTCCCCCAATCACAGCATGCCTTGTATTCTTTGAAGAAAAAAAATATACGGTAATAAAAAATACAAGGCATTTCATGAATGGGAAAGTGGTCCCATTACCTGCCATTCCTCATAAAAGCGCATCCCTCACTACTTTCAGTGCCTGAAAGCTTGGCGTTATGTGCAGGAGACGGCATGCTACAAGCAACATTTTTATTTTTTTATATATAGTTAGCAGCAGCCCTCCACACAAAATACACAGCTTTTTCATGATCATTCACACAACGAGAAGTGTGTAAATGATCATTTGTCCCTGGTGTTTGGCTTGAAGGCAGTGGGTGGCCTGATGCATACAGCACAAGTGGAACCAAAAAGTCCTGAGCATCTAGGCCTCTTCCCTGTATATCAAAACTATTAATTCTAAATGGGGCGTGTATGCTGTATCAAACATTCAGATCATTTACAACTGTGAACACTGAAGAATTTTCCATATTCTGATTGACTGCCATTATAGGATCTTATCTCAGTAATAAGTGTGGTCTCCGATTACAAGCATAACACACAAGTGTGATTTTTATTCAACGTAGAGTGGCGGAAAAGTAAAAACCCGTCTTTAGGAACAGATTTTCACTTAAATGTTGCACTACAATGCATGCAAGGATAAAAAAAAATACAAACCCCCCCCCCAAAAACCCCACACATTTGGGTAAATCATTACTGTAACCTTAACATAGGTTTGCGTTTGTGCAGACAATTGGTATGACAGCACCATTCTCAGTTTTGCAATTGCAAAACACAAAGCATTGTTTGTTGCAATCAAGGTTTCCGTACGTTGTGCTTAAAAGTATGTGAACACCCCAAATGTAGGACATTTAACTTTTTTTTGTCTTCCTATCCTTCGTTTTCGCCCAGTACTGCTGATCTCCTGCAGCCACTTCCTGTCCGTCTACATTCACCCCAGTGATAGTTGCATGGCATTTGCATGCGTCAGTGGTCGAAATGGCAGTTTGAAACTAGCAAAAGCCTGCACATGGGCAGGGCAATATACAAAATGCAGGATTCCCAGCACACTTTTTTTTTAAGTTAGCCAGCAAAAAAAAAAAAAAAAAACACCAAACTGTCAACTACTCAGGTTAGAATCAGATTTTGTTTTTTGTTGGACATTTGCAAATGCACGTTGAAGGCAAACTGCCACGCCTAGGCACCTCTGTTCCAATTCAAAATGGAATCCACAACAATGGGAGTATATAAAGCAATGCACATATAAGTGTAAGCTCCCCCTTAGCCAGAGACTTCCAGAGTGTGTCTAAACCAAATAGATTTGTATTGTTTTATAAATTACCTGTCCAAGTGCATCTTTCTACCCTTTGCTAGCTTCAAACTCCCTTAATGGGCAGCCATTGTTTTTTTTTATGTGGTGTGGACGCATATTGAAAGACTTCAGCTGCT